TTCCTCATCTTTCTTGACCCGGGGAGCCCAGAACTGGACCCAGTGCTCCAGGTGGGGTCTCCCCAGGGCCAAGCAGAGGGGGAGGAGAACCTCCCTCACCCTGCTGGCCACGCTCCTCTGAATGCACCCCAGGATGCCATTGGCCTTCTTGGCACCAAGGGCACCCTACTGGCCAGCTTGTCGCCCACCAGGGACTCCCAGGTCCCTCTTGGCAGAGCTGCTTTCCAGCAGGTCAGCCCCCAGCCTGTACTGGTGCCTGGGGTTCAACCTCCCCAGGTGCAGCACAGGTTTGGTGCAGTTGCGTGCACTTGTACATCAACGTGTGTTTGTGTAGTGTGGAGGCTCCTTTCCTGGGGGTCCATCAGCCAAGACAGAAAGGTTTATCTGTCACGGGGTCACCACGGCCCTTGGCGGTGGCCTGCAGCAGCACTGGCTGAGTTGGGAGCAGGGTCTTTACTTAGAGATTATCAGTCCTGGTACCAGTTTTCCTCACACCGTGGTAGGTCCCTGGGGAAGGCAGCAGGCAGGGTGCATTTGTAACACCTAATCGTTGTGTTTCTCCCCCAGACGTATTCCCTCAGCCTGACCTGACGGACGAGGGTCTAGCCCGCCCAGTGCTGGCTGGCATCGTTGCCACCATCTGCTTCCTGGCTGCTGCCATCCTCTTCAGCACACTCGCCGCCTGCTTCGTCAACAAGCAACGCAAACGCAAGCTCAAGCGCAAGAAAGGTGAGCCCGTCCCCGGCGTGCTTCCTTCCTCCCTGCCGCCTCCTCCTCCCTTCTCCTCCCTGGTTGTGTTGTGGTGGTAACCTTCTTCCCTGTCTGTCTCTTCTTCCGTCCGTGCGCGTCCTCAGGTGAAGCCCTGACTTCATCCCTCGGCTGTGCCTGAAAGCGCCCGTGGTCGGGAGCGGGAGAGGCAGGGTGGGTGAAGAGGCGACAGAGAAACTAGCCTGGGATTTCCGAGGGAGCGCTCTCGCGTGGTGATAACTCCTAGAGCTGGGGGCGTAGGGCTGGGGTGTCCTTTGGGCCAGAGGTGGGGGGGCCCCTCGCCTCCTCGAGGCCCCCCTGGAGCTGGGCTTTCCAGCTGCTTCCTGCCCAGCCGGGAGCGGGCAGTGCCCGGTGGCCGCAGCAGGCTAGAGAAGACCCCTGCAAAGGAGCCCCTGCCACTCTGCTTCCCAAAAGCTGGGTCTGTAGCCGCCGTGCAGGAGCGGCTGGCAGGGAAAAGGGCGGCTGGGGAGCCAGAGGAGGCAGGGGAATCGGCTCCTTCTCCTCTAGCCTGTGAGACTGCGGCGGCAGGATGGGCAGGACCCCGTGACGGGAGCTGTTTGTTGTCAGCAACCATTAAAATGCTGGAGCAATGAAACCTTGGCCTCTTGTTGAGTGTCTTTTGTTGTCTTGATGTTGAGTTTGTCTTGTCTCTGTCGTGTTGCGCCTCCTTAGCGTTCTCTCTTCTTTCCCCTTTTTGTTCTCTTCCAGACCCTCCTCTCTCGATAACCCACTGCAGGAAGAGTTTGGAGTCCCCGTAAGTATCTGTCTTAGATGTGGCACCAGACTGTGGGTCTTCAAGGTGTCTCCTTCCTACAGTTGTTGCGAGGCTCAAATGGAAATGTCTGACCTTGTTTGGTTGCTTCTGACGAGTTGTTTTGGGTGTTCCCTGAACACGGTGGTTCGCAAGAGGCAAAGGGGCTTTGGAGCAGAAAGCAGGAGGGACAAATGCAGCAAACTTTAAGCTGAGAGACAACCCCGTTGGATCTGTGAACCTTGACCAAAGCTGGAGTTGACTGGTGGAACTCTATTACACACCCAGCTTGTAGGGGCTCCTTCAGAGCCTATGGAGCCCTTTGTGCGAGCTCGGTGGAGTTTTTGAGTCGTTCTGTGTTGGCTCTGTTTTTTCTTGGGGAAATTTGGAGAATCTTACACCTGTACCTTTTCTTTTCCCATGAAGAGCGCCTCACTGAAGCCTCGTCCACACATGCCCAAAGGCGGTGGTGGATCGCGGTGCTGCGCTAGTCACAGCTCCTTGCAGAGCCTGTCAAAAGCACGTGTCACCCCTAATCAGCGGGAGCATCTTCTCAATGGGAGTGCGGGAGGCTGAGATGTGGATGCATCATGCTTTGCCTCGTGGACCGCTGCAAAATGTGCTGATGGAGCTTAATCTTGCTTTTTTTTTTTTTTTTTTTTTTTTCATCCACTGCACTGAAATAACCGTGCCTGCGCTGTCTCTCTTGGATCTGCTACCTTTTGCCCTGCAGTCCTGTTTGTCTGAGGCTTTCTGGATAGGGATGAGTGAACTATTTTGATGCTCTCTGCTTTTTGAGGTGCTCAGCCTTACATTTCATCGTTGACAGGGAGGGAAAAGTTGGTTTGGAATGATCCGTCAGCATCTCCAAGTGAGACGCCGTGTTCTGCAGGAGGGGATGTTTGCCTGATGTCCCTCCTCTTGGGGACTTTCAGGGGTGCGGATAGCTCAGGTGAACGTAGGGAACTCTTGAAGGAGTTGGAAGGGAGCTCTGGATCTTGTCTGTCGTCCCACTGGGGCCACCGGGATTGTTGCAAGGCTCCAAGGCATTGGCATGTGTTGCCTGCCCTGGGGGGGATGCCAAGCGTGCCGAGCTCCGCTCCTGAGGAGCGGGGATAATGTGCGCTGCTGTTGGTCATCTGGGCTTGCGCCGTGACTGGGCAAGGCTCTGTCATCCTGGTTAGCCCCCCCAAATTCCTCCCAGCGGTTCCTCTTTTGAGAGCTGGTAGCGGTTTGTTTTCCAGACACGGCCAGCGGTTCTTCTGGGCGAGAAGGCCTCGTTTCCCCTCCAGGTGACCGTCCCCTCTCTTGGTTTTTCTCCCCTGTGGTCCAGGTTGTCTTCCGGCAAGGTGAGTCCTGAGAGCATCCGCACACTCCGTCCCCCCTCGGAGTCTTCCGATGACCAGGGCCCGCAGGCCAAGCGGATGCTGAGCCCTACCAAGGAGAAGGAGCTCTCTCTTTACAAGAAGACCAAGCGAGCCATCAGCAGCAAGAAGTACAGCGTCTCCAAGGCGGAGGCTGAAGCCGAGGCCACCACCCCCATCGAGCTCATCAGCCGTGGGCCAGAAGGCCGCC